CACAAGATCCTCTATCCTAATTTTATCTTCACCCCCGAGGGATGACAACCAACATGATCAAAGGTCTAAACCTTATGAGGAACGGTTGAAGGAGCTGGCTAGGTTTAGCCTTGAAAGGAGGAGGCCAAGAAGAGGCAAGATAGCCAATTTCAAATTTTGAAAAATAAATTTCAAAAACCAAGCAGAGGGCCTTCTCGGTAGTGGCGCCCTCCCTGTGGAATGGCCTTCCTTCAGCTGTCAAGGAGATAAAAGAATTACACAACTTTTAGAAGACACCTGAAGGCAGGCCTGTGTAGGGAGGTTTTTAAAGCTTGATGTTTGTTTTGGTTTTGTTTTTTATTATATTTTTAGTTATTCTGTAAGCTGCCCATAGTGGTCATGTGAAAGATGGAACAAACTTGTTCTCTCCTGTTTTGGAGGGCAAGACTGGAACCAATGTTTTTTTAGCCCAAGACAACAGGTCTCCGGAGGGACGCGGGTGGCGCTGTGGGTTAAACCACAGAGCCTAGGACTTGCCGATCAGAAGGTCGGCGGTTCAAATCCTCATTATGGGGTGAGCTCCCGTTGCTCGGTCCCTGCTCCTGCCAACCTAGCAGATCGAAAGCACGACAAAGTGCAAGTAGATAAAAAGGTACCCTTCCGGCGGGAAGGTAAACGGCGTTTCCGTGCGCTGCTCTGGTTTGCCAGAAGCATCCCATGGGACGATGCCAAGGGCTTTCTGGCCTCCTTTGAGTGGGTGGCCCAAGGGAGAGTGGGCGGCCAGGCTGCTGCCAGCCCTCCAAGGAGGGGCCGAGTGGGCCTTTAGCAGCCTGGAGGCCAGCGACAGAGAGGATTATGGGGAAGTGAAGGCGGCCATCTTGCGCAGGGACACCACCGCCCAGGAGAAGCAGCGGCAGCAGCACTTCCGCCGCTTCTGCTACCAGGAGGCCGAGGGGCGAGGCCTATGGCCGCCTCCAGGAGCTCTGCCGTGGGTGGTTAAAAGTGGACCGGCACACCAAGGAGCAGGTTCTGGAACTGCTGATCCTGGAGCAGTTCCTGGCTATCCTGCCGCCCGAGGTCCAGGGCTGGGTCAGGGAGGCCGGGCCTGAGAGCTGCTCCCAGGCAGTGGCCCTGGCCGAGGAAGACCTCCAGGCGCAACGGGAAGCTGAGGGGCAGGAGCTCACATGCGCCTTGGGGCTGTGTTGCTGGGGGGCTCCTGGGGGGCTGATCCTGCCACTCCCTGGGTTGTTAACCAAGAGAGCGAAGCCTGTCCGTTTCATGCTGATTAAGGAGGGGAAGTCCAATTCTATGCCCCTAGCTCACTCAGGGAAACACTTAATCTCAGGGTTGCGGGTTCAAGTCCCGTTTGGGGGCAAAAGATTCCTGCGTTGCAGGGGGTTGGACTAGATGACCCTCAGGATCCCTTCCAACTCTATGATTCCTGTGCTCTTCTAGGCATACTCCCCAAGTGTCCCTTGTCTCCAATGACAGTTCTGGAATTATGAAAGCCACCCCAGCTTCTGATTTGATCCTGGACTGTCCCTAATTCCGCTGCCAGTGCCGAGATCGGGGAATAGTATGAGCTGGCCCTTGTCCCAAGCCATGGCGGCTGCGGCGGCTGTGAGAGGGCATCCTGTTGCCTCTCCATGGCCTCTCCACGGCCGCTGCTACCAGCTTCCTCCCTTGGGCAGCTGCTAGTGGCTGCTAGATAGCGGGTGGGGAGGAGAGGCCACCACCATTAAGGCCCTGTTTGACGCGCCAGCTCTGAGGGGGAGGCAGAGGACAAGAAGAAAGAAAGAAAGAAATATTTAGCTGGGAAAGAAGAAAGGGGGAGTGGAGCAGAGCACAAGGAATCTTGATTTTTGGACAGGGAAACCTCAGTTTTCGAGCGTATCGGATGCTGAACGATTCGGAACCCGAACGCCGAAAACTCGGAAGCAATTCTTTTCGTTTCAAAGTCAAACGGCTTCCGAGTCACATTTCTCCATTTTTTCAAAGGATTTCACACCCATTGCGCCTCGGCTGTCGAACGTTTTGGAAGTCGAACGGTCTTCAGGAACGGGTTGCGTTTCAAAAACTGCTGTATTTGAAAAAACTGATTTGTGGACCCGATGCCCTGACTTTGATACGGTTCTCACCGTGGGCTCGCCTCCACTTCAAGGCCCACAGCTCCAGCAGAGTCTTCTTGGCCTTTTCCCGGACTTGCAACATCAGGGCCCATTGATGGAAATGCACCCTCAGGGATTCGAGTCGCAGGCGTTCCCTGCCATGCCTGCATAGCGCCGCCCGGTCGGTGACAGACTTCCAGGCCTGGAAACAGCTTGAGGGGGGTGGGGAAAGGAACAGAACGGCTTAGGAAGAACCTGGCAGCAGGATCAGGCCGTCATGGCCCAGCCTCCTGCTGCCCATGGTGGCAACACTGCCCACTTGCGATTCCTTCCAGTGTGACCTGCTTCCGACAGGGGAGGTGGGCGGAGGGGAATTCAAAGGCAAGTGGCCTTCTGGGACAGCCACCACTCTGCAGGCTTGTTGTGAAGGTTGCGGAGCAGCGCCGTGGGGTGCCAGTACTGACCCACCTTGGCTCCCAGTACGTTTCCGAGCACAATTCAAAGTGTTGGTCTTGACCTTGAAAGCCCTAAATGGCCTTGGCCCTGTATACCTGAAGGAGTGTCTCCACCCCCATCGTCCAGCCCGGACACTGAGGTCCAGCACTGAAGGCCTTCTGGCGGTTCCCTCACTGCGAGAAGCCAAGTTACAGGGATCCAGGCAGAGGGCCTTCTCAGTAGTGGCACCCGCCCTGTGGAACACCCTCCCACCAGATGTCAAAGAGAACAACAACTACCAGACTTTTAGAAGACATCTGAAGGCATCCCAGTTTAGGGATGTTTTTAATGTTTTATTGTGTTTTTAATGTTCTGTTCGGAGCCGCCCAGAGTGGCTGGGGAAACCCAGCCAGATGGGCAAGGGTATCAATAAAAAAAGCTTTTAAGCTTTGGTGTAATGCGGTATTTTAATATTTTGTTAGGGACGCGGGTGGCGCAGTGGGTTAAACCCCAGAGCCTAGGACTTGCCGATCAGAAGGTTGGCAGTTTGAATCCCCACAGCAGGTTGAGCTCCCGCTGCTAGGTCCCTGCTCCTGCCAACCTAGCAGTTCAAAAGCACCTCAAAGTGCAAGTAGATAAATAGGTACTGCTCCGGCGGGAAGGTAAATGGCGTTTCTGTGCGCTGCTCTGGTTCACCAGAAGCAGCTTAGTCATGTTGGCCACATGACCCGGAAGCTGTACACCGGCTCCCTTGGCCAGTAAAGTGAGATGAGCGCCACAACCCCAGAGTCGGCCACGACTGGACCTAATGGTCAGGGGTCCCTTTACCTTTAATATTTTGCTGGAAGCCGCCCAGAGTGGCTGGGGAGGCCCAGCCAGATTGGTGGGGTATAAATAATAAATGATAAATTATTATTATTATTATTATTATTATTATTATTATTATTATTACTGCTACTGCTGATGCTGCTGTGAAAACTGCAGGGCAGCAAACCCTGGCCTCCCTTGCAAGCCTCTGGTGAAGATAATCATGCAAAGACATAGAGCAGCATTGCGTGATGCTAATGTAGTGTTTTAGAAACTAGGGTCTCCAGGTTGTTTTGGGTCTACAATTCCTGCTAGCTAGGGATGATGGGAGTTGTAGTCCAAAAACAGCCAGAGACCTGAGGTTGGGAAACACTGTGCTAATGCAAACCTACCCCAGAAAGTTGTCGCAAAAAGGTTAAGAACGTAAGGTGCGACCAAGAAGCCCACATATAAAAATTATCATCACTGTGCTCAGCTCACCGGCTCAGCAGCCCTCTCTGCACCTGAGCCACCAATGGCAGGATCCGCCGGGCTGCCCTGTAGCGGGAACGCCAGGCCTCAAACGCGCTCACCAGCCTCTTTTTCTCCAGGAGGGCGAGAGCTTCCTGGGCGCGAATCTCCTCTTTCTCCAGACGCTCCTTCTGAAGGCGCCACAATCTGAAAGCTGCTGCGTTACAGGGGGAAAGAGGGGGGGAGACATCGGGGGTGAGGAGAGCGCCAGGCGGGTAGATTTTCGTTTCCAAGCACAATTCAAAGTGTTCAAAGGCCCTAAATGGCCTCAGTCCAGTATATCTCCCATCGTTCTGCCTGGACACTGAGGTCCAGTGCCAAGGGCCTTCTGGCGGTTCCCTCACTGCGAGAAGCCAAGTTACAGGGAACCAGGCAGAGGGCCTTCTCGGTAGTGGCGCCCGTCCTGTGGAACACCCTCCCACCAGATGTCAAAGAGGACAACAACTACCAGACTTTTAGAAGACATCTGAAGGCAGCCCTGTTTAGGGAAGCTTTTAATGTTTAACAGACCATTGTATTTTAATATTTTGTTGGAAGCCGCCCAGAGTGGCTGGGGAAACCCAGCCAGAGGGGCGGGGTATAAATAATAAATTATTATTATTATTATTATTATTACAGTGGCACCTCTGGTTAAGTACTTAATTCGTTCCGGAGGTCCGTTCTTAACCTGAAGCACTACTTTAGCTAATGGGGCCTCCCGCTGCCGCCACACCGCCGCTGCGCGATTTCTGTTCTCATCCTGGAGCAAAGTTCTTAAACCGAGGTACTATTTCTGGGTTAGCGGAGTCTATAACCTGAAGCGTTTGTAACCTGTAGCATATGTAACCCGAGGTACCACTATAATAATAATAATAATAATAATAATAATAACCACCAGCACCAATCTGTTTGGGGCTTGGTGGCCCCAATCCTGCATCCTGCACTGGATAACCTCCCTGCTCCCAGATCCGCATTTGTCTTCAGGGGGTTGTTTATTCCTGATTCACCCCCTTCCGATTTGCATGATGCGAGTGGTTTTCTGGTGGCCCTAGGCCATTGCATTCAGGCCTGCTCTGCACTCCTTCTACCTAAGAACAGAAGAGGAGCCCCGCTGGAGCAAATCGGGAAAGCCTCTCCTCCTAACCCAGTATCCTGTTCCCGACGGCGGACAGCCTTGACACCGCTTCCCTTGCCCCATGGAGGGATGGGGGGGGAGAATTGCTAGGGGAGAGGCACGGGGTGCGGGTGGGGAGATCTCACCTGTGTCCCTGCCAAAGAAATAACCGAGCCAAGCGACTGTCCCTCAGTGAGGAGGGAGGACAGGGGAGAAGCCCCCGAGACGAGGCGGAGGAAGAGACTCCCTTTCCGTTGCAAACCAAGCTCCCGCGCCTTCCTTTCAACCGAGGGAAATGCAACGGGGGGAAGCCAAGGGGGGCTCGGACAGCCCACAGCCGCCGCAGCCTCTCCGATGGGGCCGCGGCAGGGATCTCGAGAGGGGCGCGCAAGGGCCGGAAAGGCGCCGCTTTGCTGCACGTTTCGCGGGGCTGACTTGCCCCATATTTATTCACTTACTACTTACTATTTACTTACCGTATTTTTCGCACGATTGGACGCACCGGACCATAGGACGCACCTAGTTTTTTTGGGGGGAAATAAAGGAAAAAATTTTCCCCTTTATTTCCCCCCCAAAAGCAGGTCAGGGAAACCGAACCAGGTCGAGGAACAGCGGGATAGTGGCGCTGCGCCTCCCTGCTGTCCCCCGAGCTTGTGGGGCTGGCTGATGTCTGCCTGGCGCATGGGGCGCTCTGCTTCAGGGCGCCACACCCGCCGGGCGGCAGGCTGCTATCCGCAGCTTGGGGAGCCTTGCGGGGAACTGCTGCAGGGCTCCCCATGCTGCGGATGTATGCCTGGCGCGAGGGGCGCTCTGCTTCAGGGCGCCCCACCCGCCGGGCGGCAGGCTGCTATCCGCAGCGTGGGGAGCCTTGCGGGTAACTCCTGCAAGGCTCTCCATGCTGCGGATGCGTTCCCGAAGCGCCGGGCGCTCTGCTTTCAGGGCGCCCGACGCTCCGGGAAGCAGGCTGCTATCCGCAGCGTGGGGAGCCCTGTGGGGAACTGCTGCAGGGCTCCGCACACTGCGGATGTCTGCCCGGCGCGAGGGGCGCTCTGCTTCAGGGCGCTCCTCGCGCTGGGCGGCAGGCTGCTATCCGCAGCGTGAGGAGCCTTGCGGGGAACTCCTGCAAGGGTCCCCACGCTGCAGATGTGTTCCCGAAGCGCCGGGCGCTCTGCTTTCAGTGTGCCCGACGCTCCGGGAAGCAGGCTGCTATCCGCAGCCTAGACACGGCTAGCGGAGCGCTAATCCCGAAGCTTGGGACGTGCGGAGCTCAGCGCGCCCAAAGCTTCTGGGTGCCGGCAAGGTCTCCTTGACGGCTAGCGGAGACCTTGCCGGCACCCAGAAGCTTGGGGCGCGCTGAGCTCCGCACACCCCAAGCTTTGGGATTAATGCAGCGCTCCGCTAGCCGTGGGAGAGCTGGGTCTCCCACGGCTAGCGGATAGCTTCCTGAAGCCTGGAGAGCGAGAGGGGTCGGTGCGCACCGACCCCTCTCACTCTCCAGGCTTCAGCGAAAGCCTGCATTCGCTCCATAGGACGCACACACATTTTCCCTTGCTTTTTAGGAGGGAAAAAGTGCGTCCTATGGTGCGAAAAATACGGTACTTACTCCTTACTACTACTGTACTTACTACTTCAGAAATATCAACACCCTCAGATATGCAGATGACACAACCTTGATGGCAGAAAGTGAGGAGGAATTAAGGAACCTTTTAATGAGGGTGAAAGAGGAGAGCGCAAAATATGGTCTGAAGCTCAACATCAAAAAAACGAAGATCATGGCCACTGGTCCCATCACCTCCTGGCAAATAGAAGGGGAAGAAATGGAGGCAGTGAGAGATTTTACTTTCTTGGGCTTCATGATCACTGCAGATGGTGACAGCAGTCATGAAATTAAAAGACGCCTGCTTCTTGGGAGAAAAGCAATGACAAACCTAGACAGCATCTAATAAAGCAGAGACATCACCTTGCCAACAAAGGTCCGTCTAGTTAAAGCCATGGTTTTCCCAGTAGTGATGTATGGAAGTGAGAGCTGGACCGTAAAGAAGGCCGATTCCCAAATAATTGATGCTTTCGAATTCTGGTGCTGGAGGAGACTCTTGAGAGTCCCTTGGACTGCAAGAAGATCAAACCCATCCATTCTGAAGGAAATCAGCCCTGAGTGCTCACTGGAAGGACAGATCCTGAAGCTGAGGCTCCAATACTTTGGCCACCTCAGGAGAAGAGAAGACTCCCTGGAAAAGACCCTGATGTTGGGAAAGATGGAGGGCGCAAGGAGAAGGGGAGGACAGAGGACGAGATGGCTGGACAGTGTTCTCGAAGCTACGAACATGAGTTTGACCAAACTGCGGGAGGCAGTGGAAGACAGGAGTGCCTGGCGTGCTCTGGTCCATGGGGTCACGAAGAGTCGGACACGACTAAACAACACTTACTACATCCCCTAATGCAAACACGTTCGTTTGTTGGTATGCCTCTGTGTCTCCCATCGCTAGGAAAATTAGAGCAAATTATATAGCCAAGATAGCCACCAACTGTAAAGGAGATGAATTTATTTGACCCTTTCTACTCCGAATATAATTGCACATTGTATTAACATTATTTTTTAATATATTAGTGGCCATGTGGTGATTTTAGCCTATAAATTTTATTGTTTAATGTCTTAACCTGTATATTAAGGTACTTTTATAGCTCTGTTTAGAGTAGTGTCTTGATAATATAAATGTTTTAAGTTTTTTGTATTAATCCAGCATATTTTCTTTTAATTGTTGAATGATCCTGTGTACATTGCGGCAGCCTTTGGCTATGTGCAATAAAACTGACTGACTGACTATTCACTTACTGAATTTATATAGCTGCCCCATACATCAGGATTTGGGGGGGTGGGGAGAGAACTGAGTTCTCTGTGAAGCGATTGGTCAGTTAGGTAAGTATTTTTATTGACTTACTTGATTTTTTTTGGAGGAGGGCAGCTGCATAGACCCACACCCCAGCTGTGCCCATGGCCCCATAGCACAAATACTCTAGGAAACCAGAGTGGTGTAGTGGTTAGAGTGTCGGACGTGGCCCTGGGTTCAAATCCCCCCAGAGTCATGAAGCTCACCTGGGTGACCTTGAGCCAGCCACCTAACCTACTTTGCAGGGTCGTTGTAGGGATTAGCTGAAAACTGGGGTGAACCACATGGAAAAAACGGTGGGATAGAATTGCAGCAAATGAACTCTTTGGCTTACCTGCCGGCCGGATGGAGATGTCATTTGGCAACCTGGCACCCACATGGTCGCAACTGGAACTGTGCCAGTCACAAAAAGGCACCTTGCAGATTTCTAACACTGGAAAGAACGGAAGAAGATATCCCCCCGCGCGATCTCATAGTGCTTAAGCTCAGGGGCATCCAATGAAACTGAATGCGATTCAACACAGACGAAAGGAAGTCATTCCTTGATTTATCGGCTACTTTAAAATGAGGCTGCATTTTAAATTGCATTTTAACCTGTATTTTAAATTGGTTCCCCCCCCCTTCACTTTCCCCCCTATTATGTTTTTACTGTGAGCCCGGCTCTGGCCGGGGAGGGCGGGGTATAAATAAAATTTATTATGATTATGATTATTATTGCAGTGCACAAACTATGGAACTCACTCCTGCAGGAGACAGGGACGGTCAACTTGGATGGCTTTAGAAGAGGATTGGACAAATTCACGCGGGACAACTGGCTATTGTGGTTTATTATTACGAGGCGAGTGCTTTGGAGCTTGTGTCCTGCTTGTGGGTTTTTCCTTGCTGCATCTGGTTTGCAACCATGGGATGCTGGACTAGATGGGCCTTTGAGCAGCTCAGTTGGTTAGAGCATGGTGCTGAGAATGCCAAGGTTGCAGGTTCAATCCCCGTATGGGACAACTGCATATTCCTGCATTGCAGAGAGTTGGACTAGATGATCCCCAGGGTCCCTTCCACCTCTATGATTCTTCTATGACTTCTGTTTCCCCCCCCCCATCCCTCAGCTGTTACAGCTCAAACCAGCAAGCGAGCCTAGCAGAAAGAAGCCACATGATCAAACTCAAGACTGAAACGTTTTATTAAAAGGGTTCTTTAATTTTCTCTAGGAAAACAATCATACATACAAAGAACAGGGGAAGAAAGGAAGGCTGTGTGTTTTCTCTAAGGCACAAAAGTGTTTTTGAGAGAGAAAAACGATCAGCACACCTACAGCAGTCATCAGAAGGTGTGTGCCTGCAGCAAATCATCGGCAGAAAAATGGCACAGTTGCAGCAACGGGCAAGGGCATGGATTGCTCTTTGGAAATAATATTAGCTGGCTCCTGTAAGCAGACAGATCCTCCAGCTAACAACTCTCTTGCTGAGTCTCTTAGTGAGGGGGGGGACTATTTTATTGGGGGGGCTACTCTTCCCAGGGTAGCCTTGAGAGGCTGAATCGATCAGCATCAATGTGGCTGGAAAAAATACAGAGAACTTTGCTATTGCAGAAGGAAATTGCAGAGAGTTGTACATATGACATTTCTGGGATCGGGGGGGGGGGGGGACGGACTTTAAAACATCGTTGTCCAAGGTGCGCTCTGGATTTGCAGCAGAAACTATGACAAAACCCTCAAGTCGAAGCCACAGGCTGCTTTGTTGCCAAAGTTTTTTTCCTCCCTTCCTAGACTGGTTTTTAGAAACCACGCTTCCTCTGGTGGGGAGGAAGAAGTGGGGTTGGGGCTAAGTGGCGAAGACGGTTTTGTTCCCCAGCGCAGAAAGGAAAGGGCCCAGTGTTCTTTGGACGGTTCAAGGGACGCCTCAATAAGGAGGAGGTGGGGAGGCCTTGGTAGCCACGTCTGGGTAGGGGCGCAGCGGCTCCGGGTGGTCGATGGGCTGGTACGAGCTGCGGTCCTGCCCGACGTTGAGGACACCTGTGCAGAAGGAAAGGGGAAAGCGACAGCTTTTAGCCTTCGGATGCAGCACCCAGGGTTCAAGGTGTTCCCAGCAAGAATCTAAGTGCTGGGATGAGCTGCAACTGGAGAGCTAGCTGTAATTTTCTGAGCCGTGAATTAGACTATCACTTGCCTTTACAGCCCCCAATACCTTGCATCAATGGGACGCGGGTGGCGCTGCGGGTTAAACCACAGAGCCTAGGACTTGCCGATCAGAAGGTCGGCGGTTCGAATCCCCGCGACGGGGTGAGCTCCCGTTGCTCAGTCCCTGCTCCTGCCAACCTAGCAGTTCAAAAGCACGTCAAAGTGCAAGTAGATAAATAGGTACCGCTCTGGCGGGAAGGTAAACGGTGTTTCCGTGTGTTGCTCTGGTTTGCCAGAAGCGGCTTAGTCATGCTAGCCACATGACCCAGAAGCTGTACGCCGGCTCCCTCGGCCAATAAAGCGAGATGAGCGCCGCAACCCCAGAGTCGGTCACGACTGGACCTAATGGTCAGGAGTCCCTTTACCTTTATACCTTGCATCACAGCTCTGACCGCTGGCCATGTTGGCTGGAGGGCTACTGTTTCTCCACCTCTGAACTAGACCGTCACTTGTCTTCACTGCCCCTAGGGACCACTGACCATGGCAGCTGCGGCTGATGGGAAGTAGAATCTCATCTCAAATGCTGCAGGTTCCCCATCAATGAACCAGACCATCACTTGCCTTTACTGCCCCTGTTCCTTCTCAGTTCTGCCATCTTTTTTTTTATGCATGGCCAGGTAGCCTGGTTGATGGACAACAAATCCCATCCTTGTCCCTATTGGCCATGCTGGCTGATGGGAGTTGGCAGTCCAACCATGTTTGGAGAGTCACAAGTTCCCATAACCATTGCACTTCTTTGTTCATTGCCAGTGATCAATTTCCAAAATGAGGGATAGGTGCTTTGTGTCCAGGAAACCTCGCCTCTCAGGTGGCACTTTTGGTTGCTGTGAGTGACTAGGTGGGGAAGCACTCTGCACATGCTCTACCACACCTTCTTTATGCAAAAACCCTAGAGTCCATTGGCCCAGTCTTTGCTGACTTTAAAAATAGTTTGGTAAACTCTGGGAGCTTGGGTCTATCTATGGAAAGGTAAAAGGTCAGGGCCCCCTTGACGGTTAAGTCCAGTCAAAGGCCACTATGGGGTGTGGCGCTCATCTCGCTTTCAGGCTGAGGGAGCCAGCATTTGTCCGCAGACAGCTTTCCGGGTCATGTGGCCAGCATGTCTAAACCGGACAGGACACCGTGACGGAAACCAGAGCGCACGGAAATGCCGTTTACCTTCCTGCCACAGCAGCACCTACCGTATTTTTCGCTCTATAAGACACACCCAACCATAAGACGCACCTAGTTTTTAGAGGAGGAAAACAAGAAACAAGAAAGCAATGCAAAGCCTCTTGAGTGAAGAGGGAGGAATGCTCCCACTGCGCTCATGAGGCTTTGCGTGGCTATCCCTGAAGCCAGAAGAGCAAGAGGGATCGCTGCGCACCAATCCCTCTTGCTCTTCTGGCTTCAGCGATAGCATTCACTCCATAAAATGAAGACACATTTCCCCATACTTTTTAGGAGGGGAAAAGTGCGTCTTATAGAGCAAACAACAACAACAACGGTATTTATCTACTTGCACTGGTGTGCTTTCAAACTGCTAGGTTGGCAGGAGCTGGGACAGAGCAACGGGAGCTCACCCTGTCGCGGGGATTCAAACCGCCGACCTTCTGACTGGCAAGCCCAAAAGTCTCAGTGGTTGAGACCACAGCGCCACCCCCGTCCCTAGGGTCTATATATGATGGAGCTGTTGACCACCAAAGCTAAACTGAGCCTCCCAAACCAGAGACAGTCTACCTCTAAAGGCCAGCTTTTAGAACAGGGGCAGGCACCTGTGACCTTCTGAATGTTGCTGAACTTCCAACAGCCATCAGCCAGAATGGTGCTGGAATCCAGCAAAATCTGGAGGGCTACAGGTTCTTCACCCATTAAAGGAGAGCAGAGTTGTGACGGAGGCAGCCGGGACCTAGAAAGGCACATGGCAGTAATAGAGTTACAACAGAGGCAGCTAGGGGAAGGAAAGGCAAGTGATGGTCTTTGGGCCTGAGGAAGAATCTGTAGCCCTCCAGCCTCCATTAACCCTCAGGCAGGGATGGTGGGAGTTGTAGTTCATGTGTAGTCCAGCAACCATGAGGGACAAGTGTTCACCACCCCTGAAATGAGGGGGGGACACACACCATTACAGACATATGCCCCACTCGTGTGATTTCTAGTCATTGATAGCAACAGGACACTGGATTAGGTAGGCCTTTAATAAGATTTCTGTTTTCGTTAGGTTTCAATTCAAGTGTTGCTTTGTTTAAATGTGTAAAATATCACAGTGTTTCCTAGGACTTAAATCATTCCAAAGAAAAATAAGTTATTCTGGTCAATGAATGAAAGTTGAGCCTCCATGTTCAGAGGCAATCTATCCCTGGATAGCAGGTGCTGTTGACAAACAAAATGGCATTGAATGCAGCCCCCCCCCAAACCCCCATCTGGTTCACTGTTGGGGGAAGGATTCAGCCCATGATAGTGACTTGGTCCAAAGCCGTCAGAGCTCACTTCACATTAAATTAAAATCTCTCAGAAGCACACTTTGGAAATTCATTATTATTTTTTACTAATGGTTGAAATTATCAATTTGTCCCTTGACACGGGGACATTCCCAGGGGAACTGAAGGAAGCAGTGATGTGTCCACTCTTAAAGAAAACTTCACTAGATCCCTTAGACCTATCCAATTACCGCCCAGTTTCAAATCTTCCATACCTGGGTAAGGTAATTGAGAGAGCGGTTGCTGAACAGCTTGGTAGGTTTCTGGAGGAAACATCGGCATTAGATCCATTTCAGTCCGGTTTCCGTCCTGGTTTTGGGACGGAGACGGCTCTGGTTGCCCTAACAGATGATCTCCGTAGACAACTGGATCGAGGCGGGTCAGGACTGCTGATCCTTTTAGATTTGTCAGCAGCCTTTGACATGGTCGATCATGATCTTCTGGACCATCGCCTCGCAGACGTGGGGATACAGGGCATAGCATAGCCCGTAACTGGTTGTGCTCTTTTATCTCTGGTCGGGGACAGAGGGTGGCACTAGGGAGGGAAATGTCGTCGCGCCACTCCTTGGTGTGTGGAGTGCCACAGGGCGCAATCCTCTCCCCGATGCTTTTTAACATCTTTATGCGCCCCCTTGCCCAGATTATCCAGAGCTTTGGGCTGGGCTGTCACCAATATGCTGATGACACTCAGCTCTATCTGCTGATGGATGGCCACACCGACTCGGCCCCGAACACACTGACCAGATGCTTGGAAGCTGTGGCTGGATGGTTTCGTGGGAGCCGATTGAAACTAAATCCTTCGAAGACAGAGGTCCTATGGCTAGGTTGGGATGGCATGGGGATGAGGGACCAACTCCCTTCTCTTGCGGGGGCCCAATTAGTGCCATTGCCTTCCGTTAAGAGTTTGGGTGTAATCCTTGACGCCTCCCTTTCCATGGAGGCGCAAGTTACAGCAACAGCCAAGGCGACATTTTTCCACCTTCGCCGCATCAAGCAGTTGGTCCCTTACCTTTCCCGCCCCGACCTGGCCTCAGTGATCCATGCGACGGTCATCTCCAGGCTTGACTACTGTAATTGGCTCTACGCGGGGCTGCCCTTGAAGCTGACCCAGAAACTCCAGCGGGTGCAGAATGCTGCAGCGAGGCTCCTCACGGGGTCTCTGCCATGGGAGCATATTCATCCAGTGCTGATAGCAGACTAAGGTTGGTAAGGCAATGCCCCATTTGCCCCCAAATGACTGGCCACCCGTGCTTCAGAGACTCAACTGACGTGGGGAGGAAGACCTGTGAACCCCAATCCTATATTGACATTTTGTCCCAAAATTAAATTCTAGTGCAGGCATAGGCAACCTCGGCCCACCAGATGTTTTGGGACTACAACTCCCATCATCCTTAGCTAACAGGACTCGTGGTCAGGGATGATGGGAATTGTAGTCCCAAAACATCTGGAGGACCGAGTTTGCCTATGCGTGTTCTAGTGCCTGCAGTGGGGTTTCATCCTAGGGAGCATTAATCAGCTAGTGCCTTTTCTTTTTTGAAAACTGATGTTATTTGCAACACAGTCCTCGCCTTCAGTTCCAGCAGGGGTGGGGAGGCATTTTCAAGCTGGGGTCTGGATCTGTACCTTCTGAGAGCCAGGTTGCACCGCACAGGAGCAAACTGCTTCTCCCATCTGCACTATAGCTGGCAACACAGAATGAATAAAGAGAGCATTTTTCACTTTATACTGGCGTTTTGAAAGAAATAGCTGGAATAAGTGAGCAAATAAATTTTCCATGCACGCGCACGTTTAAAAACTTTGCAAATGAATTTTCATTAGAGAGAGTTTGCATCCCAAACATATTTAAGTCTAACCGCTCGCCTTTTCCCCAGTTATAGCTGCTAGATAATTCTGCTCCCATTGCATGATCAATGTGGGGAGTTAGCCAACACGGACCTGGAATGGTTCTGTGGGTCCTCTCCATCTTTTGCCACAAACAGACATCTCAGTTGCTCTTCCAGCATCAGCACCGCCCTTTACGCACAGAGAGGGGAGAGCCACTGGTACCCTACCAAGCCTCCAGAGGGGGATAACTGCTGCTTCCAGGCGCTGGGAATCAAAGGAGCTTTTGAACAAGGTATCATCTCTGGCCAATTCCCATAATCTCTGTTTACCAGTCCCCAAGTCTGGGAAGGGTTCCATGTCTGGAGTGGGCAGCCAACGGTTTTTTACCTCCTCGACTTCACTCAAGGGGAAATCCAACCTCAGGCAAGAGGAAGAGCAAGTTTGGGGGCAAGGGAACTCGTGGAACAGCTGTGCAACCTGCAGGTAGGTGCTGTAAAGGAGACAAAAACCAGGAGAAAAGTTGTGCTGAATTTTTACTGGAAAGGGGGGGGGAGTGGGAAGTTTCAGGGAGGGGAGAGATCCAGGAGGCCTAGGAAGCCGGAAGCTATCAGAAAACAATGGTTGTGTGTGTTTGTGTATTTAATATGCCTTTTCACATACAGGAAAAACAAGGCAGCAGAAATTGATCTAAACAGCATAAAACAGCAAGCAAACAACTTTGAAACTGGCTAAGGAAACAGACTGAGATTTGGTCAAGTTGATGGACCAGATTCTGAATATAAAAAGCTTTAAAAAATATTATTCAGATGAACCATAAACTAACCAAGGAACCAAAATTTACCACCAGAATGCAAACCTTATTCAGCTGACCCCCTCTGCACAATCCCCCAAACTGTTAAACCCATTGAGAAAATTAAATTTCATCTCTTGAGTGAAAAGCTGGATAATTCAAGCCAAGCAAACTGATTGGGGATAGGAATTATCAAAGATGGACAGAGAAAAGAAATTGATTACAATTAAGTTTTTCATTTACACAAATTTGTTCTGTGCTATCCACAATGTATAATTATTTTACCGAATCGTAGATTTAAATATAAAAGGTGCAGTAGGAGAAAATGGGCTAGTGGCCTGGAAACTGATTTTTAAAAACATTGAGATTGCTAGGTGTTTTTGTTTTAAAAATTGCATGGTTAAATTGGAACATAAAAACTTGCATTGTCAGAAACAGAAAATTGAATAGTTCAGAAGCAGAGCTAAGAAAGGAATGGAATTATTCACAAATGCAAACCATTTGTTCCCTCAAATGTTCATATTTTTGTCTAAAACGTCTTGCGATCCATTTTGGATTCCCCCCCCCCAGTTTGCATCAATAAAACAGCTGCTATCTAAACCAATTTGTGTGAGATAAATATTTGCTAGACTTTTCTAGTTTGCTAGACTCGTTTCAACCGGGAAGGCTTAGTAGGAAACCAATAAATTTTATGCTGATACTTATTGCAAAGGAGGATGTTAAACCATCACATTTCTAGATCATCGCCACAGCTCTTGCCCTACGGGTTCATCAAAAAAATCCTAAGCTCCGCAGCAAATTCATGAAGCAATCTTCTAGAATATATTTTTCTCCTGTTAACTCGCCATCAAATGCTCTGTTGTTCGGTTGCATCATTTTCACTATACAGTGGTGCCTCGCAAGACGAAAAGAATCCGTTCCGCGATTCTCTTCGTCTAGCGGTTTTTTCGTCTTGCGAGGCATTCGTCTTGCGGGGCACCTCTGTAGTTGCTCTGGAAAAAAAGTGGGATTCTCTCTTCCCTCTTTTTATTTATTTGCACAGAGGTGCTCTTATGTGTGTGTTTTATTACAAATATAGCAGAGGGGGGAAAGGGAGAAGGAAGAGGAAAAAACAAACACCACCAATTCCTACTGACATTAAGAATAATTCATCATCCAAAAAGAGAAGAATAACCCATCAAAAAGGCTGTTGATTTTTCATCAGGTCTTTTTTAAAAAAATACCCCATACATACACCCCCCACCCCACCCCCACACCATTGATTTATTAACCTCCTTCTCAAGGCAATTTACACATAAGGTAATTTAAAACCGTTAATAACACTTGAGACAACAAAAACACCTAAAGCAAGACTAAAACTGCCACCAGATTCAGCAGAAAACAGTGAGTTTTCTGGGGAAAGCAGACGGGCAAACGAAAAACTTCTCGAACTTGTGCCCAGAAAGCACTGGCCAAACAGAAGTAATATTGTGTGTGTGTGTGTGTGTGTGTGTGTGTGTGTGGAGAGGGGGGGGCAAACTTACTTGGAGACAAATCTTCTGCTCGGTATACAAAGAGCTGGAGCATGGCTCTGCGTACTGCTGGCATTACTGCTGCCTGCAGGAGGTTGGCTTCCAAATCGCCACTGTCTGGCAAATGGGCTGCATCCTTGGAGAAGAGAAAGGCGCAACATAAACCTGTGACCCAGATGCTGGTGGCCCTCTAGATGTTTTTGGCTCACAACCCCCATCAGCCCCAGCCTGCCCCAGCTGTGCTGGTGGGGATGGATGGGAACACAGGAAGCTGCCTTGTCATGGATCAGGCCATTGGCCTACCTGGCACAGTGCTGTCCACACTGACCAGCAATGGCTCCCAAGACTTTGGATGGGAGACATTCCCTGCCCCACCTGGAGATGCGGGGGGGGGGGGGGCAGGACTTCCTGCAAGCAAAGCAGGTGCTCTGTCAGGGAGCTCCCTTCCCCATAATCCTTTTTCAGTCTCAAATATCGGGAGGGCCCTAGGTGGGTGAAAGCTGTCACAGACCATCTCTACAGAACACGGAGGGAGTTTCAGATTCAAACAGGGCATTTTCTGTGTTCATTTCAGTGGCAGCTGCAAAAGAAGCACAAACACTGTAGCAGGAACAAATGCAATGTTGGAACCAGCCCACAGTTATGCAAGGAAAGCTGTGGAAAACTCAACCCAGTTTAACAGGCATGCCGTCTCCCAAGAAAACAGTAGATCTGGCATGTGGGACCTGCTGTCCTGTAGCTTCTTCCTGTGGTGAGCCACACAGGAGGGCCACATGGGGGCAGGCAATGGTGTAAGGTGGGCCTTTTCGATTTAGCCAGGTACTCAGAGTAGAATTCATGGTTCTGTTTTCAAAACAACCTTATGAGGTAAGGTAATGAATTAATTATAGGTCTTTTCCCGCTGCTTGTTCATGTTCCTGGAAAAGTCTGCAACAGTTCAAATATAGGCACAAATAAAACTAAAGACCACAGAATTGCAAGAGCAATTAAAATTATCTGCAAAAGGTGAGAGAAGGAAAAGCAACAACAAACAAAAGACAGGCTTCAGGCAAACTTCTCTGGGGAGGGTGTTCCATGGCTGGAGTGCTACTACCCGAAAGGCCCTTTAGATAGTGGGGGAACCCCAAGCAGCTTTCCTGTGAAGTTTTTAATGTAGGGGCAGGTGCAAATCGAGACAGGTGGTAAGGTCAAGATGGAGCAACTGGACCCCATTCACCCACTGAGCTTCAGGGCAAAATAGGAGTTTGAACCTTGTTCCCCACAGGAATAAGTCTAACACTCCATATCCACCATCCCAGTCTGGCATAGGAATTTGGGTGGGGACCCCACATAGTAGAATCATGGAATCATAGTTGGAACGGATCCTGAGGATCATCTAGTTCAGGAATATGCAGCTGTCCCTTACTGAACCCGCAACCTTGATGTTCTCAACACCACACTCTAACTAACTGAGCTGATGTTGGCATCCTGTAGCAGGACCAGGTATAGATAATATTTATCTTCTTAAAAATGTTGCTGCTAAAATCCCAAGTTCTTCCTATTTAGGCTGCTGGTACAAGGCCACCAAGAGTTCTGCTTGTCTAGTCAGCCTGTCCTGCTCTACTAAACCATTTAGCAAGTTGGCGTCTGACCTAGGTAAAGGTAAAGGTACCCCTGCCTGAAGGCCAGTCGTGTCCGACTCTAGGGTTGTGCGCCCATCTCACTTAAGAGGCCGGGGGCCAGCGCTGTCCGGAGACACTTCCGGGTCACGTGGCCAGCGTGACGAAGCTGCTCTGGCGAGCCGGCACCAGAGCAGCACACGGAAACGCTGTTTACCTTCCCGCTAGAAAGTGGTACCTATTTATCTACTTGCACTTTAGGGGTGCTTTCGAACTGCTAGGTGGGCAGGAGCTGGGACCGAAAGACAGGAGCTCACCCCGCCGCGGGGATTCGAACCGCCGACCATGCGATCGGCAAGCCCTAGGCGCTGAGGATTTACCCACAGCGCCACCCGCGTCCCACAGGCGTCTGACCTACCAGTCTTGAAAAATGATCCAAACAAGGCACCCCATCATTTTAATAGCTGCCAATGGCATCACATGAACTTGAATGCCCGTGACAAGCCTCTGTTGAGGTGGTGAAGATGTTGTAATGTAAAGATTTTTACCGGCGCCTGATCTCCAGCTCCAAGGACACAGAGGTGAACTTTCACATAGCCCCTTAGTCCGGCATTGAGATTAGCTGGGTCATAGAGGCTCAGCCATTTGCCCATCAGAGCATGACCTAGGGAAAAGAACAAGAGCCAACATTCACACCATCCAGAAGTGCCATCTAATTGTGGACAGACATTCATTTGAAAAACATTCGAAGATCCTGCTGGATCAGGCTTGGCCAGCATCCTGTTCTCACCAGGGCCTGTCAGATCCCTTTGGGACCCGAGCCCAAGAGCCCTCTCTCCCCCGGGGTTTCCAGCAGCTGGTCTTCAGAAGCCTTGCTGCCTCCAGCCATGGAGGCAGAGCATAGTCATCATGGCCAGCAGCCATCGATTGCCAAGGACAGCCTTTTCCTCCATCCTTTTCTAACGCCATCCTCGATGGCGGCCATCACTGCCTCCTGTGGCAGTGAGTTCCACAGTTCAATATTTTAACTGTTTAACTGCTTTGTGAAGAAGGGCTTTCTTTTATCTGTCCTGAATCTTCCAACATCATTGGTTGTTCATGAGTTCAGGTGTTATGAGAGAGGGAGAAAAACATTTCTCTGTCCACTTTCTCCAGGCCAGGCATCATTTTAGACACCTCTGTCATTTCACCTCTTGCCCACCTTTTCTCTTAACTAAAAAGTCCTCGCAGGGGAGTTGCTATGAGGAACAGTATCACAAGGATGCTTCCTTTTTGTCAAACGTCAATATAAAACTGTGTGACCTGGTCAGAGTCCCTCTTTCCTTACTCTGTAGGTAATATAAGCTGTCAAGCCCTAAATCTGAGGTCTGAGCTGAAACTTTTCACAAGTTTCCATGAATGGTTTTGGCCCTGTTGATGAGGGCTTCCTTTTCCAATTCTTTGAGGCACTCCTTGTGAAAAGGTTAATCCGATTGCTTACATTGCCTCACTAGCTCTCACTCTCAATTGCCTTCAATTGCCATCACCATATACTCAAATCTGACGGGCTCTATAGCGTAGTAATACCATCCCATGTCCTACAATAGCCGGTTTACATTTCATTTCCCACAAATATACATAGAAAATAGGCAATTTAAATATAGTAGTAGCACAACAGCTGTAATATGTAATACAAATATAATGCACTACAATATAAAAAGCATATTAGCACAAAACAACCAGTAGGACAATTAACAGGATCTGACACCAAAAACATCCATGGAGCTTGTGATGTGAGGATGGAGCACAAAGCCCAATGGAGGGCGGAGGAAGGGAACAGTGGCTGAAGGGTCTTGGACACCCTGCCTCCCAAGAGCCCTCAAACTCGCCACTGGCTCAAGACAAAAGTACCTGGAGATTCATACACAAGCTCGATCTCAATCTGCAGAGAGAGAAAAACAGAAGGAGTTACAGGAATTGTCAAGGAAAGGAAAAATTGAGCTGTGGGGAAATTTCAGGGCAATTCAGAATATTGCAAAGAGTTTGTGGTTAGACTAAATTGTGGTGGTTTTTCCTTTTTGCGGGAGGTGGGGTTCCCTTCCAATCCTGTGATTTTATAACTAAAATGGGGTTCCACAGGAATAGGGGAGATTGCTAAAATGGTCAAATGCTTCTTTATTAAGGAAATAGCATAGGCAGGTCTATTAAGTATCTGTATTGTAATGTATGCTAATGTGTTGTCACAGAAACTCTAAATCTCTGGAGGCTCTTCTGGGTGGTCAGTGGAAGAGGGTGTGTCTCCCTCCCTCTCCCTGGCTAAAGGGGACGTCTTCAAGACCTTTTCTGTGTGGAAAAGGACACAGGAGAATGGCCGTCTGGGGGCTGGAGCTACAGAAGAGACACAGAGGCCTGACTTGCTCTCTGCAAGAATCCAAAGCTATGCCTTTGGTGACCCACCCCAGGAACCTAAAGTAGGAGGAAGAGATGATCAGCTGGAAGATTAATGCTGTAAACCTTCCAGAACATGCTCAGCCTGTGTTTATAAACCTTCTACCACAGAAATCACCATCAGCCTTCCGTGGCCTTCACTCCAAGGAAACCAACCCAAGGTATGAGCTGGGACTAGGGATTTACAAATTCTGGTTTTCTAAGTTTCTCCTTTTTCCAATCTTAAATTCAGTTCTTCACATTTCTGCAGCAATTTGGTTTTCTTAGTGTGAATTTCCCCTAATTCTTAAATGCAGTTTTGACAAATATAGACATGTTTGCAAGCACTCTCCCCTATGATAATGCATTTTTGTATGGCATTTTCACTGATGTATGCCTGTACAGGCAAACGTTACCCTAATATAACATTGCATTTAGTAGTTGTTGCTCTAATGTAATTAGCTGCCATAAATAGAGCCTGTTTAAGTGTTGGATGTTGCCAGATGTTGAGTGCTACCAGTGGTAAAACAACAAACAAACAATGAATGAATGAATGAATGTCAAAAGCTTGGCTGAGAGATCAGAACTTCTGAAAAAGACTCTTTCCCTTGTCTTGGGGGCCAGCCCAGGGCAGCTCAAGGCCCAGTCCTGAGTTCAGGCCCACTGAGCAGCACCAGCAGGGAGGCACCTCTTGATTTCTGCCTCTCTGTAGATATCAGCCCAAATTGCACCCTGGAGACCCCAAGGAGGGAATCGGCCCGTATTGCCTTGGAGTTCAGCACCTAAAAAAGAAACACACATAAATTCCCCTCCCCTCCCACAAAGCTGCCTTGTTCGTCTAGTATAGGGGTTGGCAATGCAGTGCCTCCAGATGTTGAGGACTACAATTCCTATCACCCTTGATCACTGATTCAGCTGATGGGAGCTGAATTCCAAAATACTGTATGTGGAGCCCCCCCCCCCACCACACTGGTTGTGTCTGGTCTGAGTAAGAGGCAATTGTGGCCTCAGTCGCAACTCCACTCTCCCCCAGGCAGTGACTAAAACAAGGAGTGATAAAATCAACTCAACCAGACAACAATCTGGATTAAAAATGGCCACAGCTTTATTGACTGCAGAAGTAGGTGGAATTTTGGCGCAGGCATCGGGTGTCTATTTGTCCTAGCCTGCTGCCGGAGGGCTGAAACATTTTCAGGGTTATGCCAAGGACTTTGGCCTCTCCGAGACCCCAAGCTACTGAGGTGGCCATGCTAAGGCCATTTGCTGGAAGCTCTAAGGCCCGCCTGCCCCATGCTTGGCTTCTGGACAGAGACTTCCACCCTCTAATGGGGTGCCCTGAATACGCTGCTGGTACTGGACTGGGCAATGCACCTTCACCCAAAAGATATGGAGGGCACCACACCACATGGGTTGCCCCTAGTCGAAGTGAGATCCATTTAGCAGCTGCATTATCCTTTTACCACTTGCATTGGGGCTTCTTTTGTATCTCTGAGGAAAAGGAATAGATTTAAGAGTTTAAAATTCAAAACAGGCAACCCAGCAACAACCAAGTGTCTGCACAGAGGGTGCGGAAGAATGGAAAACATAATCAATGGAAGCTGGAGGAAGGTGACTCAAGAGCCACCAGCCCACACCACTTCTTCTGGTGTACACACCACACTTGCCTACCGTCAGGCTAGGCGGGGAAAGGGCCACAGTCCAGAGGGAGACTACCTGCTTGGCCTGCTGAAAGTCCCAGGTAAAGCTGAGAAAGACATCTGTTTGAAACCCTGGAGAGCTGCTGCCAGCCAGTGTATAACAAATACCCCAGCAGCCTGATTTGATACAAGACAACTTCCTGATTTGAAAGAGCTAAGAAAAAGTGTCAGGGTCAAGCTTGGACTTCACTTGGGCAATGGTGCGTTGGTTTTCTATCCTTATTTCTGGTTCCCCTGCCTGATGGCATCTTCTTAGGCCTCATTCCCAGGAAAGGGTGTCTCCTGCTTTTGCCCTGCTAGCTCTCTCAGCCCACATCCACATCATAAAGTGCCATGATACCACTTTAAACAGTCCTGGCTTCCCCCAAAGGGTTCTGGGAGCTGTCGTTTGTTAAGAGTGCCAAGAGTTGTCAGGAGACCCCCATTCCCCTCCTAAAGCTACAGTTCCTACAGTGGTTTAACAATCCCTCTCCTCAGGGACATCTGGGAATTATAGCTCTGTGAAGGGGAGAGGGGCCTCCTTAATGGCACCCTTCATGGTACAGCTCCCAGAACCCTTTGGGGAAAGTCAGGACTGTTTAAAGTGGCATTGTAGTGCTTTCAATGTATGGTGCGAATGTGGCCTAACAAGTGAAGGAATTCCAATGGGTCTACTCTGAGTGGAACAACCTAGTTGCTTAACAGTCCTTTGTGGCCTTGTAGGTGTTGTGACCTCTTGTGAGAAGGAAGCGTGGCTGGGGAGTGGCAAAGCGTGCCCACAGCCTGCAACGTCTCAGAAGCAGCTCATGCAACCTCTCACCTGGCCAGGTTCCTTGGAGCTGCGATGAATGAGCCTGGGACCTTGCAGTGTTTAGCTGAGGGTGTGGATGGAGGACAAGGTTCTAGCTACTTGCTGGGGACGGTGGTGGGATGGCCTTGTTCCTCTATGCTTGGGAATCTCTCTGTTTGTTTTTGTATCCACTCCTCAGTTTCTGCTACGGCTCCTTCTGCCTCCTTGTTCCACTCAGACTCTCTGAAGATTCTGGACTAGAAGTCACTTTACGTCTGGCCTGCTTCTTCCTTTACAAAATTGCCAGTTCTGCTCCCCAGGTTATCAGCCCTGAGTCCGAATGAAGCCTGCCAGAGCTACAATTCTCAGAGTTCCCTGTGAAGAGGGATTGATGGTCTGGGAATGGTAGCTTTGTGAGGGGAACAGGAGTCTCCCAATAACTCTCCGTGTCCTTAGCAAGCTTTGGAGCTGTTTAAAGTGACACGATAGTGCTTCAAATTGATGGTGCTAATGTGGCCCCAGTGGCCGACAACCCAATTTGCTGCTTCTTGACACGAATCACAAGGTAATGCAATCGCAAGATGTGTCTAACCTTTTGTCCTCCAGAGGTTGCTGGAATCCAACTCCTATCGTGCCAGACTTTGGGGGCTGATAGGAGCTGGAGCCTGGCAGCCTTTGGAGAGCACCACACGGGCTACTCTTGAGGACATGGGATTCTGTTGAAAAGGAAGGACCAGATGTCGCTTTATAATAAAAATAATAATAATTTATTATTTGTACCCCGCCCATCTGGCTGGGTTTCCCCAGCCACTCTGGGCGGCTTCCAACAAAGATGAAAAATACACTAAAATGTCACATATTAAAAACTTCCCTGAACAGGGCTGCCTTCAGATGTCTTCTGAATGTCAGGTAGTTGTTTATCGCTTTGACATCTGATGGGAGGGCGTTCCACAGGACGGGCGCCACTACCGAGAAAGCCCTCTGCCTGGTTCCCTGTAACTTGGCCTCTCGCAGTGAGGGAACCGCCAGAAGGCCCTCGGAGCTGGACCTCAGTGTCCGGGCAGAACGATGGGGGTGGAGACGCTCCTTCAGATATACTGGACCGAGGCCGTTTAGGGTTTTAAAGGTCAGCACCAACACTTGGAATTGTGCTCGGAAACGTACTGGGAGCCAACGTACAGTGGTTCCTCGGGTTACATGCGCTTCAGGTTACATACGCTTCACTCACCAGTTTCTTTATGTACCAGAATGTCCAATTCCCCTTTTGGGACGTGATTTTCTATCTAAAACCGCAGTGCCTAGGACTTGCCGATCACATGGTCGGCGGTTCGAATCCCCGCGGTGGGGTGCGCTCCCGTCGTTCGGTCCCAGCGCCTGCCAACCTAGCAGTTCGAAAGCACCCCCGGGTGCAAGTAGATAAATAGGGACCGCTTACCAGCGGGAAGGTAAACGGCGTTCCGTGTGCTGCGCTGGCTCGCCAGATGCAGCTTGTCACGCTGGCCACGTGACCCGGAAGTGTCTGCGGACAGCGCTGGCTCCCGGCCTATAGAGTGAGATGAGCGCACAACCCTAGAGTCTGGCAAGACTGGCCCGTACTACCTTTACCTTTACCTTTTAAGGCCTTCGACACGATTAGACATAAGTTCTTATGGAGTATTATGCAGGAGGGAGGATTAGGAGAGAACTTTGTGGAAGCAATCCGGGAATTGTATAGAGAAGGGAAGGCTGTGGTCAGAGTGAATGAGGGGGTTTCAGATCAATTCAATATACAAAGAGGAGTTAAACAAGGATGTTTACTCTCACCACTATTTGTATTAGGTATGGAGTATAATACTATTTGAGTGGACAGGCGGAGTCCCCAGATCCCACGCGGTCCCCCCGTCATGTGGAATAACGACTCAAGACTACGTGCTATGGGATTAAATTGGCCACAACTTTATTAAATTTCAAATGTGGGTAGACCTTGGCTCAGGCATTGGGTGTTCTCCCTCCCCAGTCCCCAGCCCAAGGCCTGATACCGCCAAAGTTGTGACGTTTTGCTACGGGAAAGGCGAAACCTGCCAATGCAGGGAAATTCCTTTCCGGCCCTTTAACCGCGACCTTAACGTAGCAGCGCCCGCATACCTGTGAAGAAAAGTTAACCTGCAAAACCTGTGAAGAAAAGTTAACCTGCAAAATAAGACATTAACTGAGGGTGGGTAGGGTGGGAGAAGCTCTGGAGCCAAGTGAGGATTCCCAGGTAAGATCCTCCCTCTATTGTGTGGGCAGGTAATCCCTCCCCTACCTGGCCTGGTCTCCTTGGCAACGCTTCCCCCAGGTGGGATTGGACAACTGACTGAGGTAGGCGGAGACCTCCAGGTATCCCACCTGAGGGAAGGCAAAGCCAAGCCTATGCTGTTGGAGCCGCTCCAGATCTAGGGGCTGCATGCGTCCAGGCAAAGGGCGCCCCCCGTTTTAAGCAGGGAGCGGTCATTGTATTAGGTATGGAACCATCCCAAAGCAGTTGGAAAAGGTCCAGGCGGGTTCCAACTTGCACAGACCACTTGGAACTGGCCCATACTGGTTGGAACAGGTCTAGACTGGTTTGAACCAGACCAAGTCGGCTGAAACAGATCCAAGCCGGTTGGAACCGGTCTAGGCCAGTTTGAACCGGTCTAGGCCGGTTTCTGCCAGTCCAAGCCGGTTTGAATTGGTCGAGGCAGTTTTGTACCGGTTTAGGCCGGTTTGAAGAGTTCCAAGTGGGTTGGAACTGGCCCAGACAGGTTGGAGCAGGTCCAGGCCAGTTGGAGCAGGTGCAGGTCATTTGAAACTGGCCCAAGCTGGTTACAACAGGTCCAGGCTAGTTGAAACAGGTCTATGTCGCTTGGAACCAGCCCAGACCTGTAGGAATCATTTCATACCAGTTGGATCCAGCCCAAGCTAGTTGGAACCAGCCCAAACCAGTTGGGAAAGGTCCAGGCGGGATCCAACTTTCCCAGACTGGTTGGAACCAGCTCAGACTGGTTGGAAGAGGTCTAGACTGGTTTGAACCAGTCCAAGCCGATTTGTGCTGGTTGAAGCCGGTTTGAACTGGTCTAGGCTGTTTTGAACTGGTCAAATTCAGTTTCAAATGACCTGCACCTGCTCTAACTGGTCTGGACCTGCTCCAACCCGTCTGGGCCACTTCCAACCTACTTGGAACTGCTCAAACTAGCTTGGGCCGTTTAAAACCGGCCTAGACCTGTTCAAACCGGCCAAGACCGGTTTAAACTGGCTTGTACTGGCGTAAACCTGCCTAGACCGGTTCCAACTGGCCTAGACCGGTTCCAACCGGCTTCAACCTGTTTCAACCGACTTGGACCGGTTCAAACCAGCCTAGACCTGTTCCAACCAGTCTTAGCCAGTTCCTACCAGTCTGGGGCAGTTCAAACTGGTGTGGGCAAGTTGGAACCTGCATGGAATTTTCCCAACTGGTTTCAGCTGGTTCAAACTGGATTGGACCGGTTCCAACCCGTCTAAACCAGTTCCAACCGGTTTGGACCTGTACCACCCGGCTTGGACCGGTTCAAACCAGCCTAGACCTGTTCAAACTAGTCTGAGCCAGCAATAAAACCCTTTCTGCAACCCCAAGAGTGCCAGATTGGAGGGAGGACCTTCACTCACCAGTTTCTTTATGTACCAGAATGTCCAATTCCCCTTTTGGGACGTGATTTTCTATCTAAAATTCAAGCTCAAATAGCCTTCATGCCTAAAGGGGCAGAATTGAAATTACCACCAATTGTAGTAGCTCTAAAGCCAGGTGCAAGCAGAACTGTGCATGCGTCAGCGTGGGTAGATGCACACCCGTCTCGCTCTTGGGACTTTACTAATTAAAAGCCTGAAAAACAAATAACTCTCTGCAAACTGATAGCTGAGATAACTGACCCAAAACTGGGCTTAGGTACAAGTCCTGGAGTTTTTTTCCTCAGTTTTTTTCCCCCTTTTTTGTTTTTTTTTTTGTTTTTTTTATTATTTATTTCAAGTAATTACACTACCCATTAGGAAAATATGGTTCAAAACATGGAATAAGGTATTTAAAAATTGGATAATGGACTAGCCTTTATCACTTTGTTAGTGGAGGGTGTATGCAAAGCCCTGCAGATACAATGGAAACTGCACACTGCCTACCGACCACAGAGTTCCGGCAAGGCGGAAAGAATGAACTGGACTCTTAAATGATAGCTGGCCAAATTGTGCCAGGAAACTCATGGCAATTGGGTGGACTTTCTACCCGTAGCCTTGCTCAGGATCAGATGTGCACCCAACAAGAGGCTAAAGCTCTCTCCCTTTGAGCTTTTGTATGGAAGACCTC